GGCTTTGGATTTTTAGTGTAAGCAAAGGCCTGAAATCTTCCCCATGATTTAAAACCTGCACCTGTGGCAAGTGAAGGTGACTGTGATAAGGAGTTTGTTGTAAATAGGGGTTGGTTTGGTCATTTCAGAGTGAGGGCAAATTGATATAAAGTTAAAGAGTGCAAGTACCAGTTGTCTGTAAAATAGCCGTTCATAATTTTACTGGTTTGAGTTTTAGGTTTGTGCATTAATAAGATTGCCCTTCTATGTAGCTATGCCAGTAGTGGTTATCTGGGCACCACACCTGTTGTTATTCCAACTCATAATGACCCCAAAGGACAGAGTAGAACAAGCTTCAAATCTTTATGGACGCTGACTGCCACATCTTCCTCTTGCAGAGCACCTGGGGGATTTCGCCCATTGACCTTTTGGTGGCAGCAGAGTGCTTAACCACTGTTACACTTGGGTTCCCTGGGCACCATAAAAGGCTACTTTTTTCCCTCTCTCTCAGAGGTTCACAGTTCAAAATTCCTTTGTATTTCTTGTAGCTTGGTTTGAAGACTATTTGAGAATTCTGGTATGAGCATATAAAGTAATTATTTCTCAGTCTGTCTTAGAGGGAAACTGGGAATTTGTTCCCAAGTAACTTCTTGGTTCTCTTTGGTATTCATTGCTTGACATTACCTAACCTGTTCACTCTCCATGTGTTAATCCTATAAACATAGCCATCTCAACAGCTATAAGCTGACTGCCAGGAACCGTTAATGATTAGGTATGCAAGATATTTAAATTACTACCAAATAGTTAAACCTACTACCACTCATCTGCCCGTCTGTCATAGTGGTGGCTGCTAGTATGTTGCTGTGATACTGGAAGATATACCCTCAGTATTTAAAATACCAATGTTGTTGTTGTTGTTGTTGTTAATATGCCGTGGAGTCGATTCCGACTCATTGTGGCCCTATACAGGGTTTCCGAGGCTGTAAATCTTTACAGGAACAGAAAGCCTCATCTTTCTCCCACGGAACAGCTAGATTCAGAATGGACATGAAACTAGGGCTATCACTGCTGACATCAGATGAATCTTGGTTAAAAGCAGAATATACCAGAAAGATGACAAACCAATACATAGTGGTTTGAACAGAACAAGGGGATGCTGAATGATTTAAAATCAGGAAAGGTATGTGCCAGGGTTGTGTCCTGTCACCATGTGATCTGTACAGTAAGCAAATAATCCCAGAAGGAGGAAGCCACATTAACAACCTGAGATATGTGGATGATACAAACTTGCTTGTTGGTGAAGATGACTTAGAATATATACTGATGAAGATCAAAGACTACAGCCTTCAGTATGGATTGCACCTCAACATAAAACAAAAATCCTCACCACTGGACCAATAAATAACATCAATGATAAATGGAGAAAAGATTGGATCCACAAACAACACTCATTGGATACAGCAGTCAAGAAATCAAACAACACATTGCATTAGGCAAATCTACTGCACAAGACCTCTTAAAAGTAAGTGTTCAAGAACAAAGATGTCACTTTGAGGACTAAGGTACACCTGACCTAAGCACATTAAACCACAGCGCCACAACACTATTGATATTTTGGACTGGACCATTCTTTGTTGTGTGGAATCCTGTACATTGTAGGATACTTAGCAGCATCCCTAGCGTCTGACTCCTCACTAGATACCAGTAGCACTCTCCCACCAGTTGTGAGAACCAAACATGTTTCCAGACATTGCAGAATGTCTCTTGGATGCATATTTCTAGCATGGTATTTCTAAAACCTAACATGTTGCTCTGTAGGTTAAGCACTGGACTGCTAACCACAAGGTTAGTGATTTAAACCAACCACCTACTCCTTGAAAACCCTGTAACAGGGTAGCTATGAGCCAGAACCAACTCAAAGACACTTAACAACAACAACTCCATATTAGAACCATCTGGCAAACTTTTAAAGGGGTGGGTGCAGGTACCCAGACACCACCTTTTACCCAGAGATTCTGATTTAATTGTTGTGAAATAGTCCCTGAACCTTCGTAGATTTTATTGATGGTGATGTAGACGTCATCCATTTGTTTTTAAGCTCATTCTGATGTGTAGTCAGATATGAGAAGCATTGCTGTTGAGGAGAGCCACTCAGAATTCCTGAGTAGTTTTAATTGTTACCTAGCTTTGAAGTCTTGAGCAAATTACTTTAATTCTTCAGTTTTCATTGTCTTCAGGTACACACTTAGAGATCAGACTAGATAATTTCCGAAGTTCTTAATTGGAAAAGAATACTAATTTATTATTGTAGCCCTTTGGATATGTTTCTTTCTTATGTGATTTTTACTTAAAGGAAGATCTAATCCAAACTCAGTTTTTCATGTTGTTCTTCACTTTTATCTCTGTCTTCTTTTAGCTTTTTTGTTTAATCTTTAATAAGTAAATTATTTAGATATTAAATTTTATCAGACTTTAAAGCTGATTTAAGGAATCCTTGTAGCATGGTGGATTGCTAGCTGGGTTGCTAACCACAAGGTCAACAGTTTGAATCTACCAGTCATTCCATGGGAGATAGATGATCCTTTCTGCTTCTGTAAAGATTTACAACCCTAGAAACTCTATACAGGGTTGCTAAAGTCAGAACCAACTTGAGGGCACACAGCCACCACCAACACCAGCATAAAGATAATTTACACCTTCTGGATTATGTTTAAAGGGGAAACCCTGGTAGAGTTCCCCAGGAGGGTTTTTTAGATGCTGTACTATTTCAGGTCTTTTATTTGTTAACATAATAATTTTTTAGTGTATTTCTTGAGCAAGGCCGATCTTATATCACAAGCCATAATAATCATCAAGAGAAAATCGTTTTCAAAATTGGTTGCTGTTATGTCGAGGTTTTCACATGTCTTAGTATTGTTTTGTAGGAGAATTTCCTATAGGAGTGGGGTGGGGCGTTGCCAATCAACAACATACACTAAGGGCTGATAGGGCTGATAGAGTGTGGTTAGATCCTAAGGTCATTGTTATTCCAAGGAAAACAACAATACCTAGTGCCAAACTGTAAAGCCATTTGAACTGCAGGGTTGACAGTTCAAGCTTACCAGCTGCTCCTCAGAAACCCTATACAGGGTCGCTATTGGTCGGAACCGACTCAATGACACTTAACAACAACAACCATTTATTGAGTGCTTGTGGGCCAGATAAACAGTAACTGTGAGGAGTGGTCATGATTTACAGGTAAGGAAACTTGAGACTTGGAAAGCCTTGTAGCTAGAAATTGTCAGCTCTTGGATTTGAACCCATTTCATTTGCAGTCTTGAGTTCTGAACTGTTGTGTAACACTGCCTCCCTCAAAAGGGTTAACCCTCCATTAATTTTGATCTTATTCAGATAAAGCTTACCCCTAACTAGGTGGATCTCAGTGGAATGTTAAGAGTTAAGTTGAGATAAAATGTTAGACTGTTCCTAGCTTAGTGCCCAATGCACAATCGTCTCCCAGTAATATGTTTCCCAAATACATATTCTTAGATGTACCATTATCTTATTATTTTTAGTTTTTGTCCTTAAACTTTGGTTGGAATTAAATTATTCTCTGTTTTTTATCCTGGGACCAGAGAGAATTAAGCAATGTAAAAAAATTGAGTGACTCTTTTTTTATTTATAGTAAAGTTGGTACATGGTACCATTCTAAATGCACAAGAGAGAAATTAACTTATTAATACAATGAATAGTTTACTGTTTTAAGGCTTAATTATTGGTTGAAAGGATACAAATTGCTTTAAGTGGCTCTGCACTGCTAACTACAGGGTTGGTAGTTCAAACCCACCAGCTGCTCCTTGGAAACCCTATACAGGGTCACTATGAGTCAGAACCAACTGGATAGTACTTAACAGCAACAAAGTGCCATTGAGTCATTTCTGACTTGACAACACTTAGCAACAACAATTATAAGCATTTGGACTGCATAATTAGAATTCTTAATTTACTAGTATTAGTCCTGGTGTGGTGCTGTAGGATTCTGCACTGGGTCACAAGGTCGGTTGAACCACGAGATCAGCAGTGAGCATGTATGGCAGCTGATGTGTATGATGGCTAGCATGTATATATGTATGTATGTATAAGAGTCCTGGTGTGGCACTGGTCTGTAGTGTCAGTTTGAACCACCAGGTTGGCTGTTCAAACCCACCATCTGCTCCTGAGAAACCCTATACAGTGTCGCCTATGAGTCAGAATCAAGTCGACGGCACTTAACAGCAACAAACAACATTTTATATATGTGTGTGTGTATATATAAAATTAAGTTCCATCAGGAATCCTGCTGTGGTGCTAAAGAATAAGCACTGGATCCTAATCACAAGGTTGGTAGTTCAAACCCACCAGCCACTCCTTGGAAATCCTATGAGTTGGAACCAACTAGATAGTATTTAATAACAACAAAATGCTGTTAAGTTGGTACCACTCAGTGATCCTGCATAGGATTTCCAAGTCTGAAAATTTGGCAAGGGAAGCAAATAGCCTCATCTTTCTCCCACAGAGTGGCTGGTAGGCTTGAACTGGTGACCTTGTGGTTCACAATCCAGTGCTGATTCTCTCGTGCCACTTTGCTCCACATATGTATTGACAAAAGACTGGGAAACACATATACATAACTGTTTTGGTATTGAACAAGTGCTGAGAATTCTCATTTTTAAACCTACTTTTAGTCTTCAATTTGCTGGTATACCGATTTCAATGAATTCAGTGCATGCCTTAATTGAGTAGAATTGATTTCCTTGTCTTCTTAACCTCTAAATGTCCCTTTAAAAAAATTTTTTTTTTTTTGAAGCAAAAATTTGACTTACATTGTTAAATTAAAAGAATAATTGTTTGTATTGGCTTTTGCATGTTTCAAGTATTGTTAAAACTATTGTGAAATTAGAATTTTTTTTCTGATCCAGAAAGAGTTCAGTGTTTTGATAGTTAAGATGAAATCGAAACTTTCATTTGATGATGAATGATGATTTCACATTTCTTTCTTTTAGGTTGACAATAGCATTTTTTGCACTCTCCGGGCTGGATATGTTGGATTCCTTAGAAGTAGTGAACAAAGATAATATCATAGAATGGATTTACTCCCTGCAGGTCCTTCCCACAGAAGACAGTGAGTGAGTTTTTAGACTTTTATTTTTAGTGTAACTAGTTGTATTTGGCATAACATGTGCTAGACTGGCAAATCATAATATTTATTCTTATGCAATTAATATTGCATACATCTCTCTTTTCCCTGTAATACAATGCTCTTAATCTGTTCAAATATAACACGTAACAAATATAATGATTGATTTCTTAAGAGAGCTTATTAAAATTGGCTGGAATTAAATAGAGATGCTGATTTAATTCAGTCCCTATAGTTTTAGAAGTATTGGGTTGTATTCTCATGTGTTTTCTTTGTTAACTTTTCTCACTGCTTTTAGGCAGTGTCTGTAGTGAAACCATACCATGAGGAACAGCACTGAGTGTTTAACTTTTCTCTGTATGTCTTGCATTGAATTGGTCACAATGGTAGCACCGTTCCATGATGTACACAAGGGAGCTTCAAAAACTTCATAGAAAAATGGAATTGAAAACTAGTGGAATTTTTCCAAGAACTTTTTGAAGTGCCCTCTAACAAGAAAAACGTAACTTCTCCATCAATGATTGTTCATTATTTGTATTTGGCATTTGTGTTTGGTTACTTCTAGAGCACTGTTTTTTTTCATTTCCAGCTATTTTTCTGTCTTCAGTGAAAACATCTTTCTTTGCCATCAAAAATTTAATTTCAGTTTCTGATCTTTTCCCTCTAATGTTTTACTTAGCTCTTGTAAGTCATCATTTCTTCCATTTGCTTTAGCTCTTCTATGAGCTAGTTTCAGAGTCTGTTCTGACATCCATTTTGAAATTTTCTTTTTTTTCCTCTCCTTTTAATGCTGCCCTGCTTTCTTCATATAAGATGTCTTCTCAGCTTGTGTGATCTTTGGCATTTCAGCTATTAGTGTAATGTGTCAAGTCTATTCTTGAGATGATCTCTAAATTCAGTTGGGATATACTTAAGGTTGTATTAGTGTCTCAGACTTGTTTTCAGTTTCTTCGGCTTCAATTTGAACTTGATGATCTGTTCAACTGTTGGTCCCTGGCCTTATTCTGACTGGTGATATTGAACTTCTCGATAGTCTCTTTCCACTGATGTAGTCAGTTTCATTCCTGTGTGTTCCATCTGGTGAGGTACACATGTATAGTTACCATTCATGATGTTGAAAAAAAGATATTTGCTATGAGTAGCCATTGGTCTTATAAAATTCTGTCATGCAATCTCTGGTCATTTTTACTACCCTGGAATTAAAAGATGGTAGAATTTTTTCCATGAACTTTTTGAAAGGTCCCTAGTATTTTCCAACTACCCATCCTTCTCTGTTTCCAGTTTTCACATTTTAATCACCCTCTTGATTGCATATTTGATAAAGATCAGACAACAGATGTTGGTAAAAATCTTTTATTTCTTCATCTTTGTCATTATTGGTTGATGCACAAAATTGAATAGTAGTCATAGTAAATGATCTTCCTTGTAAGTGTGTGGAAATTATCCTATCGCTGACAGCATTGCCTATCAGGAAAGATCTTGACATTTTCTTTTTGACAGTGAATATGACACCATTCTTCGATTTGTCATTTCCAAAATAGTAGAATATGATTGTACGATTCAAACTGGTCAGTAGCAATCCATTTCAGCTCACCGATGCATAGGACATTAAACTTCTCACCTCAACTATTTTATGATGACCAAATTCTCATCTTCCATTTAAGAGATTTGAACTTGATTCCTAGGTACCACCCATCTATCAAGAATTGTGTGTTACACCCTTGGAACAACAGTGTTCTGTGGGTAGATAATGAACAGAGACACAGGCTGAATGGGTATGGGAGGAAGAGTGGGAGTATACCCACAAATATATACGAGTTTGAAAGAAGTTGTTTGTACATGGGTATTTGCCTTTCCTGCAAACACAGCTGTAAATGTAATGGAGCATACAGTGAGCAAAATGATGAAAATTTCTTAGGTATTATCAAACACCTTAAGGCAATGAGTGACTGGGCCAGGGGTATGAGGACCATGGTCTCAGGAGACACCATGATCAGTTGATATAGTTTAGAAAGACAATTTTCTACATTCTGTACTTCGGTGAGCAACATCTGGAATCTTAAAAGTTCATGAAC